AACGTTAACTAAACGTTAACGTTTAAGTTAACGTTAAACGTAAACGTTAAACGTTAACGTAACTAAACTAACTAACTAACGAGTAGTAGTACTACTCTCTCTCTCTCTCTCTCTCTCTCTCTCTCTCTCTCTCTCTCTCTCTCTCTCCAGTGTGCGTGTGTGTGTGTGTGCGCATTAGCTCCCCCGTCATTAGAATACTTCATAAAGTACTCTGGACCCTGGAACACCCAGCTTCCTAGGAATTTCGTTCAGGCAAAGAGTATTCCTTTTCTCAAAGTTATAATTTGATAATCGAGAAGCATTAATAACACACCTAAGTTTCATTTTAGCAAGACCAAGATACATGGGCAAGTTGATGAAACCTTTGCTGCATGGGAAAGGAGAAAAAAGGCAAAAAGATCATCTTAAAATGAAATCTCCTATCTCCCTCCAACCCAACCACCCAACAACCCGCTCCCCTTCCCCCCTCCCCAAAACAAAAGAAAACAAAAACATCCCCAAAAGTAAGAATTAAAATTTGACAAATATAGTATGATATTACAACATCCCTTCAAAGTTCAAGTTCCAAAGTAAGAACTTTGGAGGGATGCTTTAGAATTTAAAGGTTTTAGAATTAGCCGGACTAAGACAGAGTATATAAATGCAAATTAAGCAATTATACAGAGTAGAAACGAGGAAATAGTTAAGCTTGATGGCCAAGAAATACATAAAAGAGATTAGATTCGATATCTTACTTAAAAAATTCAGGAAAATGAGGGGATTGATGAAGTAGTCGCATATAGAATTAGAGCCTGGTGGCAAAGTGGAAATTGCATCAAGAGTTTTATATGATGGCTGCATACAAATGAAATTGAAGGGGAAGTTCTATAGAACGGTTGTAAGACCAGCCATGCTCTATAGGACATAATGTTGGGCAGCAGTCAAGAAATAACATATCCATAGGATAAATGTAACTAAGATGGAGATGTTGAGATAGATGAGTGGCAAGACAAAAAAGGATAGAATCCGAAATGAATATGTCCGAGGGAACTTAGGGGTGACTCCAATATAGGATAAATTAAGGGAAGTAGACTTAGGTGGGCTGGCCATATGCAGCGTAGACCTAGTACATCATCGGTTAGGAGGGGCGATTTGGTTCAAATGGAAGGCTCTAAAAGGGTAAGGAGAAGGCTCAAAAGAATATAGATCGAAGCAGCAAGAAGAGATATGATGACTTATCGTTTGACTAAGGGTATGACCATTGATAGAACATAATGGCAGAATATGATTTATATAATTGATCAAATAGTTAGGGTAAGGCTCGGATGATCACAATTATGGTGATATTATCATATTACAGTGGTTCTTGTAACAAAGAAAGTGCCCAAAGACAGGTTTGAGATTTTATTAAGGCACCATTTGATTTCTAGGCCAAATTGCAATTTGGGCCAATTTGAAATCTGCAACCTGCAATTCAACCTTAAGAGTGTTTGTCTTTCATATTTGAAATAATTCCCAATTGCAAGTGGATCCCAAAATTGGATTTTTTGCAAAACCACTCTAAATTGTTCTGCAAAATTTTCAAATCAGCTCTCTCTCTCAAAAAAAATCACCATTGTCAACGTTGTCACTATTCCACCAATCATATCCCCGGGTCACCATCAACACTACCACACCACCACTAGTACCACCACCACTGCTGCCTAGCCACCACCAACACAACCACCTTCTGATGCCAGCACCACCATTGTCGCTGTACAACCACCAACACCACTACCTAGCCACCACCCCAATTGCTTGACAACCACCACCACCATTGCTACCAAGGGACCATCATCACACACTACTACCACCACTGCTCCACCACCCCTAGTGCACTATCGCCACCATCACTTGCACCACAATCATACCATCACCACCATGACCACTATTGCAGCATACAATAACAAACTGCCATTCAAATGAATCATCAAACACCTTAGGCAGCAATAATAGACCGGATTGTCATTTGGCCAATCACAATTTGAAATGAAAAAAAAAACGATTTGATGAAATCTGAAATCTTGCTCTAAAGAAATTTCAAGGATTTTTAAATTTTGCAAGTAAGATATATTGTATCTTCTTAACATCTTAAGCTTTAGTTGGGAGGTTGGAGTTCCGGTCATGGGAGCTCCACAGACACAATGACATAATGACATGCTCAGTGATAATAATCTTTTCGACAATATGCCTTTATGGTATCCATTCTTAATCCTGCCAACTGGTTATGCGGAAGATCAATCTTAATGGTATCCATTGGAACTTCAAAGCATCTTCTCCAACATGTCAAGTATATATCCTCTAGGTTAAGACCCGTTTAAGACCCATGTCGCTCAATCTTCTAGGTAACTGAACATTTTAGCGCACAGTTTTCGAATTAAAGTCCAGGCTAAGTGAACTTAAAAATATAACAAAATGGCAATATATGGCATACACTTTTCAGCCATTAATTCCTCATTCAAATAATACAAGAAACAAGAGGTAAAAACAGCTTTGCAATCACATATCACTAATCCACAAGAAAAGTAATGAACATGAAAGACAAAAATAGTAACAGCGACCTTTGACAACATAGTATGTCCTTCATCATCAAATAAGATAATAAAACAAAAGACCGATCAATAAATCACAACGAAAAGAGAATGAAAGAAAGAAAATAAGAACATGGGCAAACAAAAGCTTACTTTAAGTATTCATTCCCATTAAATCCACCAACAGCATAGAGAGAGCCATTCAAGACTGCAGCTGCTGTTGCAAATCGCTACAAAAAGTAAAGGAAAAACAGTCATCATGATCAACATTAATATTTGTCATTATTTACAAAGTAATTTTAAAATAATAATGATGACAGATATCAATCATTACTTACAGATGAAAGCAAAGAGGTGCAATATGCAAAATCATACTAGCAGAAAACAAGTAAGAGAACTTAATCTTATTTGTAGGAAATTTTGGCAACACTATGTTGGGTTTCTGTGGGCATTAAAGGCCTTATGAGAGCTTGTAACTAATATCCTGATATAATGAAACATAAACTTAGTGGAAGTGTCGTCCTTTGTGGACCATGATAGGCAAATGTTATTTGCCGATACTCAGACTTGGCTTGACGAGCTAGGCCAGTCGAGTTGAAAAACCCAAGTTACTTGGGCATGGAATTAAACCGATGAGGGTTTGATGGGTCATATTTTGATGAGGTCGGAGTTGCCCGAATGTGTGAGTCAAGGGATTGTGTGACCCTTGTGTGTGATGGTTGGACTTTAGAGATGAGGGTCAAAGCCACATCACTGAACTATCACACAACATGTACATATGAAAGCAGTATCGGAAAAGTGAACCACTTTTCGCGGTGAAACATGTACATGTGCGAGATATTACGCCTATGCACTATAGAGCTGTGGTTGCATGAGGTCTAGGTGACCTTGGATTCGATTTTAGGGGAGAACCTGTAGTCCATAGACTGAGATTGTATCCCTTATTGGCTGACTTTGGTGGCCTAATCATAAACCCCGACGGTGGTTAGTGGGTCATGGGAACCATTGGGTCAGTTTGAGAAAGCAAGTGTGGATTATAGTCCATAATAGAAGATGGAGTGCTTCAGCAATATTATAATTCCTAGACCTTGTCGGATCAAATTCCCATCAAAATTATCTGGTTTTAACTATTTTGATATTAAATGATTTTAGATTGATTATTTGAATTTTTATGAGTCTCTGGATATTTTATTTTTTCAAAATGAATTTATAAATTAAAAGAGATTCAATTTCAGTATTTAAATATTCAGAGAGAAAATTTCTTTATTTACAATATTATAAAAATCATTTTAATAATTTTATAATTTATAAATATTTGAGAAGGCCCACATAGGGGCCCCATGGATGGCACACCCCACTTAGTGGGGGTGCTTTCTTATTTTCTAGCCTTGTGAATCAAGGCAATCAATCAAGTTGAATATTTACAGAAAGTGTTTTGCAGAGATTTTTATTGAAAAAAGACTAGAAGGTCTTGAATTTAAAGAGATTCGATTTCAAATAAAAAAGTATGTGTAAGAAGATTATAGAAAATAATATTTTATTATTTAATGGGATTAGGTTTAAGAAGTTGGAGGATAAGGTTCTAGCACTTTCCTTTGAATCATGAGGGCTGATCTAAAGATTGGATTGCTCAGATCTCTCACTCCTCAGGTCTCCTATGATCAATGGTCTGGACCCAGTGTTTCAAAAAGCGGACTGCCCCACGCCTGAGCGGCCGCCTAAGCGATCTAGGAGGCTTGGGCGCATCGCCCAGGCGTAGGCGGCAAAATCAGGCAGGTATCCTCAGGCGCCCTCCTAAGCGCCCGGGAACCCGCTTAGGCGCCCGCTTGAACCCGCTCGCCTAACGCGCCCCGCCCAAGGGCAGAAATGCTGCTTGTTGAGGCCATTTTTGGATCATTTTGGGTCATTTTTTTTAAAATATTAAAGGTGCAAAATTGTGGGTTTTAGGTTTCAAATGAACCTAAAACCCATTAGAGGCTATTTTAGAGAGAGAAAAACCAAAAAAAAAAAATTTACTGGGCCACCCAGGTTCTGGGCGCCCGCTTAGGCGCTGGACGGCCTGGACCCCCCTTGACTGCCTAACCGTAAGGAAACCCTAATCCCTGGAAACTCGATAAATAGGGGCCCTCTCTCCCATAAATCTCTACACCTCTTATCTCTAAGATCTCTCTCTCCCTTAGAAAGATATTTCTTAAGTTAGAAATAAGGGCACGCCCCAAGCTAAGAGAAAAGAGGGGGCACGCCCCACACATACAAGGTATATGTGATGTTCCATGTTGCTCTCATATTGATTAAGGTTGTAGTCAAAGCATTCCCATCCTTCAAAGATTTGAGATAGACTAATGATCCCGTGCGCTATTGGAGGAAGAGACCAGGTGTGGGGTCTGCTAAGCCTAGTTGAGGTAATCTCAAGTATCTGCCTTTCATGCTTTATAGTGATTTCTTATTCCTATGAGTATTATGTGCTTCATGATCCCAAGATTTAAGTTTATGCAATTTTATTTGTGTAATAAAAGAATTGATAAAATGGCAGTGAGTGAGAGTCCTCGGGATTCTTTGTGTTTTTATTGTTTCTCATTATGTATTTGGACATCCGTATGTAATCTGAGTGATGAAAATGAAAAGATAAAAAAAATTTAATCAGTATAAACTTCCCCGGTTACATAGTCCAACTTTCACACCAGCCACTTAATAAATAAAGCATCCACATGGTAGTGGAATCATTAAAAATTAGTACATTGAACTGTCAATACTTCCAATAACGGCGTAAATGCCATAAAAATAAACTGATAATTTTCTTGAGAATGTTAACCTTTAATAAGTAGATCAAAGGGCAACGTTTCAAAAAGCAGACTGCCCAGTACCTGGGCAGCCACCTAGGCGATAATGGGCCTGGGCAAATCGCCTAGGCCTTGGTGCCAAAAATAGGCGGAAAACCCTGGGTGCCTGTCTAGGCGGCTGGCCGCCCAGCGCCCATACCTAGGCGGCCGCCCAAGGATTGCGCCTCGCCAAGAGGCGGAAAATAGTTTCGGTAGGGGCATTTTTTGTCTTTTTTTTATACGAAAGGGACAAATTTCTTGTTTTTAGGTTTATGAGAGAAAAACCCCAAAACACATAATACTCATGGTAAAAATGGTGTTTTGGGTATGGTAAAAATAAAAAAGAGATGAGAAATTTGCTTCCATAGCAGAGATTAGGTCTAGGGTTCGGGTCAGTTATGATGATGATGATAGTGATGAGGATGGGAAGGGATGTCAAGAGGTAGAACAATCCATTATTAGGGGAAAGGGAAAGAGAATTGTAATTGCTTCTAGTTCTGGGAGTAAAAAGCCTCAGTTTAGAGGCCCTATGAATAGTTTTTTACCCCGGCCCGACCCTGAGGTTGCAGGAGAGAAAACAAAGAAGCAAACCACAATTGAAAATAGATGAAGGAAGAGGGAAATAGAGCTGCTTTTTTTATTGCTATATGGTTTTAGGAGGCGAGCATTCCTTTCGATACCGCATGCCTAAGCAGCTTCTATGCCTTGGTAGAGGCAATTGGCCAATTTGGGCCTGAGATGAAACCCCCAACCCCATATGAGCTTTCGAGCCTCTTATGGAAAAAAGCGGTGAGTGTCACGAAGGATGTTGTGGAAGTTAAGAAAGATGCTTGGGCTCAGTATGGAGTTTCTATTATGACTGATGCTTGGAGTGATAGGAAGAGAAGAAGTCAGATGAATTTGCTTGTGAATTGTCCTTTAGGGACTATTTTTTTTAGGTCTATTGATGCATCTGATTATACCCATGATGCCCATTACATATTTCAAGTTATAGAGAAGGGAATCAAGGAGGTTGGGGATCATTTGTTGTACATGTTGTCATAAAAATTACTACTACTAATGTTGCTGCTACTAATTTGTTGCGCATAGCTTATCCTAGAATCTATTGGACACCATGTGCAACACATTGTATAGACCTCATGCTTGAAGTTCTTGGCAGTTTAAGCGAGATATCAAGTGCAGTGAAGAAGGCAAAGTCAATTACAAATTTCATTTATAGCTACCATCTCACCCTTAGCATGACACGTAGATTTACATAGAAGAAAGAGATTGTGAGGCCTGGGGTCACAAGATTTGCGCCCTGGTACTTATACCTAGATAACATACATTAGAGGAGAGTGCAGTTGATGCATATGTTTACCTTGAATGACTGGAGAGCATGCAAGTGGTCCAAAGATCAGGTTGGGAAGAAGGTGAGAGATATTATCCTTTCTAAGGCTTTTTAGCGAGGGGTGAAGGGCGCACTTAAGGTAGTTTTTCCTCTTGTCAAAGTCCTTTGCAGGGTTGATAGTGATAAGGCTTCTATGGGCTACATATATGAGCCTATGGAGACATACAAAAGAGAAATAGCCCAAAATTTTGATGATGATGAGAACCGCTACAAGCCTGTTTAGGAAATTATTGATGAGAAGTGGGATAGACAGCTACATCAGCCATTGCATTCAACAGTTTTATTATTTGAACCCAACTTTTTTTTTATGTTGACAAGGATATGCACACAAATGACACAATTATGACTGGATTTAATAAGTGTGTAGATATGTTAGTCCCTAATTCTAATATCCAAGATATTATATGTGCTGATGCGTTAATAAATTACAAGTGCTCATTAAAGTCTTTTGGGAGTCCAATGGCGATGAGGCAAAGGACCAAAATTGATCCAGGTAATAATAGTATTATTAAGTTCATCAAGTTCAAGTAATCAAGGTTCATTTTTATAATTCTATTATTTATGTATGATGTTATTCTATATCTTTGCAGCCAATTGGTGGAGCCAACGTGGGTGTAGTTCTCCAAATTTACAAAAGTTGACCATTCGGATCTTAAACCTAACCACTTCTTCATCCGGTTGTGAGTGCAATTGGAGTACTTTTGAAAGTTAAGGCCGTAAGGGTAATTTCCATAATTGTATTAATAATACATAAACCACAAATTTTAATTATTTTCATTTGATTTTATTAGATTCATACAAAGAAAAGAAACATGCTTGAATCAAAGAGGCTCAATGACCTAGTCTATGTCAAGTATAATCGATTCTTGAAGGTAAGGTTTGCTAAGAGAGATCCAATCAAATCAAAAAATATGAACAATGCTATGGTGTAGTTAATTGATGATGATGAGGTCGAGGGGCATGAAGGATTGACATGGAACATGGTCATGGATGCTTCAAGGACATCAGTCGACCCTCCTAAGGCCACTAGATCTTCTACACAGAGGACGAGGGTGGAGGAAGAGGAAGAAGAACAGGCAGATTCAAAAGAGACAGAGGAGGACGACTAATATGTCGAGGAGGTGACGACTCCGATGAATATGATACAAATGCAGCAGACACTATTTTTTCTGATGATGAATAATGATTAAACTTTGAACATTGATCGAAGATTCTTTTGAGTCTTCAAGTATTACTTTCATTTTTGTTTTCTTCCTCTTGTTTGTGTATTGTGGATAGTGGATTTGTAGTTCCACTGGTTTGGTACTTGGTAACTTTGGTTTGGTAATTTGGTTGGTAAATTTTAAGTTTTAATTGGATATGGACCGACTTATGGTTATGCTTATGGAGTGTGTGCTAATGTATAGTATACTTTATATTTTGATGTGCCCTAAAAACCTAATTCTTATATTTTATACAATATATATACTGTTAGAGACTGTAGAATCCTTTTGGATTCAACTGCCTGGACCCCCCAATCCACCTAGCACGTTTTGAAACACTGTAAAGGAGTACAGAGAGGGGTAAAGAAAGCCTATCCACGGTACGGATAGCTCAAAGTACAAGAAGCCCTTCTGAAAAAGGGGGAATGAGAGGACAATATCAAAAGGCCTTCTTTTTAAAGGTTACAATGAAAGAAGGAAACCAACAAAAAGAAACCAATCCCAAAAAGTGGATCATACAATCTGTCAATGGCCGTTGCTTCCTTGGCCAAAGCATCCGCTACCTGGTTGGACTCCCTCTAAGTATGCCTCCATAAGACACGTGCATCCCTACAATGGTGGTAAATCTCATAAAAAATATGAGCTAGAACCCAAGGGGATGGAGGAATTTGTAGCCCAAGCAATGACGTGCTTGGAATCTCCCTTTATAATAGCAGACTCTATAGAATTTGTAGCCCAAGCAATGACGTGCTTGGAATCTCCCTCTATAATAACAGACTCTATCCTGTGAAGATGTGAGCCTAAGACCCTCGAGAAGAGCTGTGACAACCACCTCCATGGAATCAGTGTGACCAATGTTGAAAGAAATGGAAGCAACAGTTGATCCCAAGTGGTCCCTAAGAATAGCACCGACATTGGCTGGCCCTAGGTTCCCTAAGGAGCAACCGTCGAAGTTAAGCTTAAATTGGCCCTGGATATGTGGTCTCCAATTGGACGCCTGAGGTAGACATTTTCTACAATGTTGCAAGGTAACAGTCCAGTCCTGGCAAAAGGCTGAAGAAGGGACCCCATTAAAGCTTTTGTGATTGGTTGCCCAAAATACAACCGAAGATTTAAGCTTAACAAAAATATTGTGCCAATAGGAGCACTCCCCTTAAAACATCCTATTGTTACGCTCAATCCAAATACTCCAAATAGTTGCTCCCACAGCGGATTTCCATAACTGAATACCTGCTTAGGCCAAGGGAAAGGTTGTAAGGCATCAGGGATCAAAGGAATAGTGGTAGGTAACACCCATTGTACTTTGAGGAGGCTAAGAAGCTTTCCCCAAATACTGAAAGTAAACGGGCAGTGCAAGACAATGTGGTCATTTATCTCCTCATCAGCGAGACAAAGGACACAACGATTAGGTAGGGGGATCCCTCTTTCTTGAAGTTGGTCGACTGTGATTGCCCTATGGGAAAAAGTAATCCACATGAAGACCTGAATTCATAGTGGGGCAAAAGAGGACCAAGGGTGTAGGGGATACATGGGAGGTTGGATAAGTTTTTGGTAGAATGAGGACACCGTGAAGGCCCCAGAGGAACTTGGGGTCCATATAATTCGATCTTGTCCCTGATTGGCTATAAAGTAGACCTGAAGGGTAGCCGTCAGATCCGACAAATGAGAAATCTCGGAGTCATTCAGTGCACACCTAAAAACTGAATTCCTTGATCTGGAGGAGCCAGCCTAAGTCCTTTCATCTTCAACAGCAGCCCCTTGAGCACAGGAGAGCGAGTAAAGGTCCGGGTATGTGTCCCTGAGCGAAGATTCACCCAGACTAAGGGCGTGCCAAAAGAGGACCTGACTGCCCTCTTTTGGGTGGAATCAAATACCTCTTGTAAATGGCTGGAATGAGGAACAAATTGATCTCCAAATCCCAGACGATCTGTTAGTGGTACTGCAATCGGGTAACCAAGGGGATGAGGGGATGCGATATTTATGCCAAAGAATATCGATCCACAACTGATCTTTTTTGGTCAGGAGGTGCCACCACCACTTCCCTAGAAGGGCCACGTTATGTTGCCTCAAGTTCCTAATCCCCAGTCCCCCCAACCTCTTAGGTAGGCAAAGTGCATCCCACATAATGAGGTGGAATTTGCGGTTCGCAGCGTCTCCAGACCAAAAGAACCTTTAGATCAACTGCTTGATCCGAGTGTTTACCGCCATAGGCATATGGAATAATGACATTTGGTAAACGGGGATGTTTGCTATAGTAGCCTTAATTAAAGTCAGCCTTCCTGCAGGGGAAAGGAAGCGGCCCTTCCAACCTGCAAGTTTACGATCCACCTTGTCTAAAATGTGAGACCATAAAACTCTTTTTGGGTTTACCCACACACAAAGGTAGACGAAGATAGTTTGATGGAAGCTTTTCCACCTCATATCCCCAGCTATCCTCATATTCTCTCAAAGTGGAAAAATCCACCGCTATCCCCATCATCTTAGATTTCTTGAAATTGACTTTAAGTCCAATTGCAAATTCAAAGCATCTGAGGGACAAGAAGAGGTTGCTGATTTCATCAGGATGGGCATTGCAAAAGGCCAAGGTATTGTCGGCATTTTGGAGATGTGTAACAATTGGACCGCGGTTCCTGCAAGAGAACCCATTCATCAAACCAGCAGCAAACATTCTGGAAATGGATTGGCTGAAGACTTCAGCAGAAATGGTGAAGAGAAAAGGAGAGAGGGAATCTCCTTGTCTTAATCCCCTAGAGGAGGGGAAGAATCCTTTAGGTGATCCATTGATGAGGATTAAGAAAAATAAGAAAAAAAAGTTGCGAGTAACAAGCTTTCATCCAAGACCTCCATCGATTTCCAAAGCCATCCTACTTTGCGTTTCTTCCAAGATTGCCCAGTCTACATGATCATATGCCTTTTCCCAATCTAATTTGACAATAAGGCCAAGAGATTTGGCAAGGTGTCCACAGTGGACACATTCGTGGGCCACAAGAGCACCATCGAGAATCTGTCGATCTTTGACAAAAGTACTCTGGGAAGGAGAAATAACCAAGGGAAGGACCTCCTTAAGGCAAGTGGCAAGAACCTTGGAGATAATTTTATAGGGAGAATTTACCAAACTAATCAGACGGAATAAAGAACTGATAATTCCATACCCCATATGAAAAATATTTTCTAAGTAGGATGATTGCAGCACTTCTCAGCATAGTCATGAAATAATTGCGTGCAGGCAAACAAATTAGGATAGAAAAGGTTATCTTAATTATCATTCATAAGATATCTGATCTTACAAAACATTCTACAATTGGAAACATAGAAGGAATAAATAAGAACAAACTGAACATAAAAGAGAAGTATCACACGCAAGCAAGCATGTGAGGGCACACATGGAATACATGCATACTGCCATGAGCTAATTTCTACAGCAATAGCTCATGGCCCAAAAACTACTAAAATAACCCAAATTTCATATATACACTCTCTTGAACCCAGTGAACAAGCTCAACAATAGCTAAAAAAGAAAATTTGAAATTGGATTTCTTAAGAGAGAAAATTTGGTGAACTCAAAATCTTCTAAATTCCGTTAATTTTAGAACTAGAAATTTGAGAAACCAAGATCGATTGTTCTTTAAAAAACCATATAACTGGTGATGATGAGGACATATACAAAGTTTGGGGTCTACAAATCTCCTAAGGCCTCGATCTAACACCATTTTTATCTTTCCTGAAATGGCTTATAGTCATTGTATTTTCTCTCCTAAAAACACCATTTCCTGGGGGTATTTTTGGTTTTTTTCATGAGCTTGTTTGCCAAAATGAATATGAGCAGTCTAAAAAATTTGCAGTCAAACAAATCCCTACAAAAAAGTTCTTTTAAGTTTTTTTGGGCCATGAGCTAATCTTGTAGCAAATAGCTCCTGTGAGTATGACACATGCATACATACGCATGCATTCACATGCACACACACACACACACACATACGTTGAGATGCCAACTCTAACTAATACAAAGTATGCTTTACCATGTACCAAATGTATGCAAAATCAGCATATATCAAAGGCTCAATATGTCTGTGTGTGTTGAGGTGATGCCAACTCTAATTAATGCAATGCTTACCATTAACCAAATGTATGCAAAATTGGTGTATGAAAGACTGACCAAACATTGCATATGCATTCACAAACTCTTCCTTCACACAAACTACAGTATGAATTTTGAGTCGCAACAGAGAATCAACATATGAAAAATTCACAGAACCACCCCCAAACAGATGACTGAAAAAGTAAATAACCGACTTTTTAGAAGTGCCACTAAAACAATCTTGTGAGAGTGCTTCTTTGAGTTCAACCCCTAGAATATCTCTAACCCACCCGCAATTTGGATTACCAAGGAAGTCTGTCCCATGTGTCTGGATGAACCAAGAAAACATGTCATTTCAGAAGTGGGATAAAAACTGGTAATTTCGGCTTTCATCTCACTCAACAAAATGGTGGAGTTTTCGATGTTCATCCAAAGGGACCACGTGAAGCACAAATATGGGGATGCCCACCAATGCAAATTTCAGTGTGGGATGTAAACGCGCCTTTTAAGCATCTTAATTGATAAGTAAAATAAATTTGTAGAGTTTGAGAGCACAATTCAATAAATTATTGAGGAAAGTCATTCAAAGTTTGTTCGAGGTCACCAGAAGTCTGTACCTTTTCAAGCATTGACCCAATAACGACCCACTTCCCAAGTATGGGGTCATAAATCTCAACATCAGAGAAACTTTGAACTCCATCACCACCACCAACAGCAAAAATTTTGCTCTGTAAGGTAGCAGCTCCAAGGCTTCCTTTCTTATGTGTCATTGATGGGCATACACTCCATTCATCATTGCTTGGATTATAACTCTCAACTTCACAAAAAATCAAAATAGGTAATAAAGTTAAAGCATGAGAAATCAATACAAACAGCTAACTTATAAAGTAAATAGGTAATAAAGTTAAAGCTTGAGAAATCAATACAAATATCTAACTTATAAAGTAACTATATGTGCATGTCTGTGCATGTGCATGTATAGAAGCACGGGCTTTGGCTCCAGCTCACCAGGATCACGAGCCCAAGCTCTTCACAAAATCAGTTGTGTCATATGCCAAGTCTAATGTTTGACTTAGCGGATTTTGTGCAAAAATATAAAAAGTAACTCTGGGCTCGGGAGATTCACCCAATTTTTGGGGCTTCTCCCTAAAAATTGCCGTGGTCCCCATCCGGGCCGCCACAATATATACACACACACATATATACGTAAATATCTATTATTTTTCTATTATATATAAAGCGAGAGGACTCCTTTTATTATCGTGAAAAGTGTCCTCTTGAATTCCAAGATTGCCCAATTTATTCTTAGTTTATACCATATTGATTCTCTCCTTAAATCTCTCTATTAATTAATTTCTATTTCATTAGTTATCATTTATATATCTCTCTCCCTCATCATCCTATATTCACGCACATCCCATCTTGTCTTCTTAAATCTCTCTTCCTCTTTCCTAAAATCTCTCTCTATCACAAACTTATCTCTCTCTTTTCTCATCTCTCTATCCCTTCTCGCTCATCTTTCTTTTAACGTCTGTATCTCTTTATTAATTTTCCAACTCATGAAATATTATCTATTATTCTCTATACTCTCTCTTGATTAATGTCTATCTCATTAATTAATTATCTTTTGATGAGATAAATTAAAATGATATTCAAAAGATCTCATGATAAATATTAATAATATACCATCCGATATTTATAATACTAACAATATACTATCCTATAAATATAATACTAATATAATAAGAATTATCTTAGTCATCAGAAATTAAATTGATCATATATACATTATAACAATATATAAATAATTTATGTTGCAAATAATATTTGCCTTATCCTTTTTTTTGAGGAAATAATATTTTCCTTGTCTTAATCACCACATATTTATGATAAATAATGATATATGAATGAACATTATTTTACTAATGGATAAGTAATTACATTATTAGAATAATAATTTATATAATATAATTAACAAATCAACATCATCATCATAGCTTTTTCCTAATTAATTGGCGTCAGCTACACGAATCCTAGTCCACCATTATGCTCTATTAAATGCCATACTTTCACTGAGGTCATGAGTCCCCAAATATTTTCAATCTACTTCCAACCACGTACTTTTGGACCTATCCCTTGCCCTTTTCAGCCCTTCCACTTAAACTAATTTGTACCTCCTAACAAGTGTTGAACTTGGTCGGTGCCACATATGGCCAGCCCACCTAAGTGTACTCTTTCTCATCTCATCGCCACTTAGTGCCACACCTAAATTCTCCCGAATGGATTCATTTCGAATTCTATCTCTTTTTGTCTTGTCACTCATCCATCTCAACATCATCATCTCCACTACACACATTCTATGGATATATTGTTTTTTGTATGTCCAACATTCTGCCCTATAGAGCAATGCTAGTATCACAGACGTCTTATAGAACTTGTCCTTCAGCTTAATTGGTACGTGGCGATCACATAAAATTCCAGTTGCACATCTCTACTTCAACCACCCAGCTCTAATTCTGTGTGCGACATCTTCCTTAATCTCTCCATTTTACTGGATTATCGACCTAAGATATCGAAAGTCCGGTCTTTTTATACTTCTTGGCCATTAATCTTAACTACTTCATCGTCTCTACTCCTGTTATTATTAATTTTAAAGCCTTTGGACCCTAAATCATCCCTCCAAAGTTCTAACTTTGTGTTGACGTCGTTTTAGATCTCATCAATCAAAATTGTCACCTGCGAACAACATGCACCACGGTACCTCATCATGTAGGTGCTTAATTAAGTCATCCATAACTAAGATAAAGAGGTACGAGCTCAATGTTAACCCTTGATGTAGACCTATTTCCACTGAAAACTCACTCGTCTCTCTAGTAGGTGTTCATATACTAGTTAATGCTCCATCGTACATATCTCTCACCAAGTTGATGTAGAGTCTGGAGACTCCTTTCTTTTCGAACGCCCACCAAATCAAATCTCAAGGTACCCTATCATAAGCTTTCTCTAAATCAATAAAAACCAGGTGGAGGTCTTTTCCTTGCGCCCTAAACTTCCCAATCAATTGCCTAAGTAGGAAAATAACCTCAGTTGTTGACCTACATGGCATAAAACCAAATTGGTTTTTAGATACACTTGTTTCATGCCATAGTCGTTGCTCAATCACTCTCTCCCAAAGCTTCATAGTATGGTTCCTAAGCTTGATCCCTCGATATTTTGCACAATTCTGTATGTATCATTTATTCTTGTAAGTAGGTACCACAATAATTTTTCCTCCATTCGTCTAGCATTTTCTTTATTCTCAACACCTTGTTGAATTGCTTCGTTAGCCAGTCAATGCCAATCTCCCCCATGCACTTCTAAACCTCTATCGAGATACGATCGGGTCCTAAAGCCTTTCCTATCTTCATCTTTTACAAAGCTTCTTTCACTTACGACATCTTAATATTATGAATGTATCGATGACCTCTACCCTCATTTGTACCAACAGTTCCTTCTACCGCTATATTACTATTGTGTTCGTCATTTAATAATTTTTTAAAATAAACTCTCCAACTTTCGTTGACCTCGTCATCCTTCACCAAGACCCTTGGATCCTCACTCTTAATGCATTTAATATAGTTTAGATTCCTATATTTTTCTCTCTTATTTGCTAATTTGAAGACATCCTTTTCACCTTCTCTTGTTTCCAATTTATTGTATAGATTATTATATGCCTTAAGTTTAACTTTACTTACTATTTGTTTAGTGTTTTTCTTAGCATTTTTATATTCTTCTAAGTTTTGATCATTTCTATTATACTACCAAGTCTTCTAACATTATCGTTTGTCGTTAATGACCTTCTGAACCTCATCACTCCACCACCAAGTTTCCTTATAGGAGCTTCTTTTCCCTATAGCTTCTCCTAAAATTTCTTTTGCTACTTTCTTGATACAATCAGCCATCTCATTCTATATTACACTAACATCATGTTCAGAGTTCCATTTTCCTTTTTCGATTAATTTATCCCTAAATAAGTCTATCTTCTTATTTTTTAAATTCCACCACCTAGTTCTTGGACACCAATTACTTTCACCCCTTCTTTTCCATGTCTTTAAGCGAACGTCCAGAACTACGAGCCTAAGTTGAGTAGTCAAACTCTTGCCTGGGATAACCTTGCAGTCTTTACATGATGTTAGATCTACCTTCTTAACTAGGAAAATCTCTATCTGGCTTTTATGTGCTTCACTTTTATAGGTTATTAAATGTTCATCTCGCTTTTTAAAGTAAGTGTTTGTTATTGTTAGGTCGTAGGCCATAACAAAATCTAAGATAGTCTCACCCATCTCATTCTTTCCCCAAACACATACCCCCCATGTACCCCTTCATATCGTCTACCATCGTTCCCTATATGACCATTTAAGTCTCCTCCTAAAAAGGCTCTCTCTCCATTTGGTATGTCTTGGACTATTCCATCCATACCCTCCCAAAATTGTCTCTTAATTCTATCATCTAATCCTACTTGTGGCGCATAAACACTAATATATCAACTATCTCTTCCCCTAATACAAGTTTAATTAATAAGAGACTATCACTTATTCTTTTGATATTAACTACTTTATCTTTTAAATCTTTGTCTACTATTATGCCTACGCCATTTCTATTATTTAATAATCAATATTAAATAATCAATAATCAATAATAGATATTTCTACAATTAACAAACAATAATCAATATTAAATATAAAAATTATGAATAAACAATTCATTATAATAAACATTTTTGTACTATTGTTGAAATACATAATTATTAACAATAATAGAGAGTTATAATTATAGTATCCTATAATTCAGGCTTAATTTTAACCCTATAATTATATTATATTAAAATATCCTATTTGAGTCATGTAATATAATTGTCTATAGATTTTCACAAAAATATGCAATTTTTTAGGTGTCCAATCCAAGTACTTACCTTTTCTCAAAGTCTTATGCAAATTTAAGAAAATATTGTTCTAAGTAAATAATAAATTTATTAACTAAATGATGAGTAAATAATATATTATTAATTCAAGTAAATAATATAAGTAAATATTTAATACTTAAAATATATGTTCTAGAAAAATATAATTCCTCCTCTTTCAGTCTTTTTGTAAATAATATAATTTAAATAAAAATTAGTGAATAAGTTCATTCTTACAAACAAAAAATTCTTATCTAAAAATAAAAACATTTTTTGAAAAATAATATAATGCATTCAAATCCTTTCTATCAAGTTTTTATGCAGATAATATAATTGAATTTGAAATTTTAATTATAAACTATTACAATACCCTATTTGAGTCATGTAATATAATTATTATAGTTATATAATAATTTTTTTTTGGTAAATATCGTTATATAATGTTATTATCTAAAAAATAATATATTGCATACAAACCCTTTATAAATGGTTTTTCTACAGCTAATGTCATTGAAATTTTATAGTAATAGCAAATATATTCTTTGCTATTATAAAAAATAACATAATGTAAATGATATCTTTTCTCCTTGGTTTGCATTTTCTATTTTTTCCTTTTTTTTCAATACACTCATAATGTCATATGTATTTGATTTGTTAGATTTTATTTTCAAAAATTATTCTATTACATGATAACTTTGAAGTTTTTGTACAATTACTTTGTCCTTAACCTTAGTTAATTGAAGCAATTATTCTATTTCGCAGTGTTTCAACAAGTGCTAGGCGGGTCCTAGGCAGCCTGGGACCTGGGCAGCTCAGTTGAATCCCAATAAGGATTTTACAGTTATGTCGGTATCAAATATATGTATTGCAATACATAA